TCTGAATTAATTCAGAATTAAGTGCAATTTCATCATCTACCTTCTAAACTTTTATGAAAACTGGGATGATTCTATTGTGTATATTTCTGGATATCTGGATTTAATATAAAATATCTGCACTAATTTAAGGTTCATAGCTTGACATATATATTTTAACTAGCCTTTTTTTCTGGATGATGTTTCTACAGATTTTGTTTTTAAAATTCATCATTGGCATAACCTTTATCTCAGAAACAGTCTTATGTAATTTATCCAATACTTGAATATAGAAAAATAATTTAAAAAAAACCAACAACAATATGTGCTTTTTGACTTGTTCTTTAGCTGTTTAGAGGGTGTACTTAGCCAGCTTCAAAACAAATTTCACATATGGTAAATTGCAGTTCTTCCCTGCTTAGCTTATAGTCTTCCTAGCCTTGTGTTGTCCTCTTTTCATTTTTTATTACTTTATGCTAAGCAAAGTTAACCTCAGTAAAGGTAGTATAAATCATCAGGTTAGTTAAGATACTGTCTTGTAAATATGCCAGACTTAGTAAGTGTGTGCTAGACAGAAAAACAACCATAAAAATTCTTCAATGTGTCAAACTGGAAATTTTAACCAGTACCTAGTGGAGAACTGGGAGGACCAAAGTCTTGATTTCCCTGCCCCCTACCCCTCTGGAACAGACTGGCATCTGCTACTACACAGTCCTTAACATTCTTCTAAGTGTGGAAAACTTACAATTCAGCTCAACTAGAACAATTCTTGATATGCAACATTCTCTGAGCAGACTGAGGGAAGAACAAGGACCTAAAGACTCAATTCCTGTATCTGCATTTTAAAAAGGAAGGAAAAAAAAAAAAAGAAGCTGAAGTTACCAAGCAGTGTGTTCAAGTGCTGGAGCTTTCCTGTGCCTCTAAACTGGATGGTTAATATTGCAAATACATACTGAAATTCAAGGAGCTGTTCAGTTACTGCCAATCTGATGTAATGTATTGTGTGGTTTCCCCTGGTCTTTAAGTTATACTCTTTTACAAAAAGAAAAAGCTCACTGAAGAGAACATGCAAAAACACTTGTAGAACTCAAGCTTTCCCCAAAGTTTCAGTAAAGCCATGCTACTCTCCTGTTGTTTTGTCCAGGTGTCTTGCTTTACCCAGAAATAAAGGGGGACAAGGTGTAATTTAACACAGCATGGTTTTTGTTAATCTGCATCATCAGAAGACCTGAATTTGGTGGTGAAAGTTGTGTCACTGTTTTAGAGCCTTTCAGCAATATTAGGATCACTACAGTGTGGTCACAGAATCACCAAGGCTGGGAAGGATCTTTAAGATGATCAAGTATGACCTAACACCACCACATCAGCTAGACAGTGGCACCAAATGCCACATCCAGCCTTGAACACATCCATGGATGGTGCCTCCACCACTTCCCTGGCAAGTCCATTCCAATGTCTAATCACCCTCTCCATGAGGAAGTAGTCTTCATGATAACTTGAACAAAATAGTGGACACTCTGGTTAAATATGTACAAATCTCAATGCTAATGATTTACCTTGTTGGAAACATTCCATTTATTTAACTTGTTGCTGTGTCATTGAGAATATCTTAATGTAATGATCTACATTTGCAATGCCTGTAATAAGGTTAAAAAACGTGTACACATCAAATGTGTATTTCTGGTTTGGCATAAGCTGCAACTGTATAACTTCTTCTGACCATTTATTTGTGTAACAGTTCCTGTGGACACAAAGGCAACTTTCTCAACATGTAAATAAGGCTTTTTTTTTTTTACCTGCTGAAACTCTTAACTTACCCTGCAGCCTTTCCTGACCTGTGAACATGGGGTTAACTTGTCCTGACCATGCTTTGAGGAAGTAAACTAGCTGATAGGCCTGCTTGTAGAAGGAGCAAGCACTTGGGGAAAAGGAAGCTGACCCCAGCTGAAGGCTTTTATTTCAGTGGGCATGTTCTGCAGCCATGGCTTATTAAGAAGCATTCCACTTTTCAGAGTTCAGTGTGCCACACCAAGTGACTTAAGAAATGGTGATCACTACGTGTGGAAGTTTGGGAAAGGGAAAGATGATATAAACAGCCTGTGAAGGAATTCAGCAGTAGTGTAAGATGCAAACCTCTGCAAATTCAAGTCATTCAAATTTTCAGCCAGCCTTGCGGTTGGCAATGATTTCTCTGTTGCTGGTTTTCTGGCTGCCATGTGATTGTGAAAGCAGGGTGTGAGAAGGGATTGTTAAATGTTGCCCAAAATTAGTTATGTCAGCTGACTAAGGCAGGTTTTAATAAATAATTAGCTGTGTCTTTGACTACTGAATTCCATAGCATCCCTTCTGGAGACCTGTGGCTTTGGAAGGGAAGCTCTGACAAGCTGCAGTAACAGAGGACTTGAGGAACTTGGGAGTGTGGAGCCCTTCTGCCAAAAGCAAGCAGCTATACTCTCATACTTCCAAGGTAAGATAACTTCCCCTGTGTGATGCAAGCAGCTTCTGTGTCTTCATGTGTCTCTGACCTAATGCACCACTTGAGTTGACTTTGCCAATTGTGCCCGTGTCTAGGAAATCAGTGTTTTTAATAGGGAAATATTTTTTTATTCCAGAAAAGTGTTTTACTAAATTGCTCACCCACTAGTTATACATGTTTCCTCTGCTAAAAGTTGGACCACTGTAGAATACAAAATCATTTGACATGACTGTTTGGGAGTCTGTTCAGAGTGTGATTTTTAAGCATAAACTTGGTGTTCCAGCGTTGTCTTTTATTATTCCACGATTGTGAATACTAGGACAGCTGAGCCAAGCAAAAACTTCTAGGTGTTCACTGCCTTTGTTTGTGTAGCCTGGGATAGAGGGGCAGAAGCAGGATCTGTTTCTGGTGAGCCAAGTTATGTTCTGGCATGGCTGTGCTGAAACAACTCTTCTCTAGTCAAACTAACTTCTGGTCAAATCAGTGCAGTTACCAGATGCTCTTAAGAGAGGATTCATTTTTTTTTTTTAATGCCTATTTTGGGGTTGATTCTTATCCCAGATAATTATACTTGTAGAAATGACTAGTGTTTGGAAACCATTGCACTGCTGGTTCGTTGGTTGGGGTTTTTTTCCCCATCACCAAGGTTTTCTCCTGATGCCTGGGGATGTCCCCAAGGAATGCTCCACTCTAGATCTGTGGTTGTCTGTAGAGCCTCCCTGTGCTCACTCTGAACTTTGCAGACCAGACAGAAGATTCTCCTCAGGAAGTGCTCTTTGTAGATGCTTCTGTTTATATATTGCACTTGAAAACTTGAGGTTGGGATTGTCACTTTTTGTTTAGGTAATAGCCAGAAAGTGTAATCAACTAATATGATCAGTGCCACAGGTTAATGATCTATGTGACAGGGCCAGTGGATGGAAACTGGGTAACAATACTGCTTAGTGTAGTATTAGAAACCTTGCTTTTTAAGCTCAAAGCAGTGCAAAACATTGCATGTCATCTGTAATAATTTAAGAGCACTAATAGAAGAAAGCTGTTTACTGGGAACGTAAAATGTTCCCTCCTCCCTCACACACAGGCCAAATTAGTAAGCATAAGGAATTCTGTATATTTTATTTATTTCATCTGAAAGGTTTTATATGGAAGAACTTGTTTCAGATTGTATTTACATCTTGCTGTTTTCCTAGACAGCTTGCATTTGCAGATAGTGGCCACTCTGTAGAAGCTGTAAGTACCAGAGCCTAGTTCAAAGCAAATAAAACATAGGAACAAGGTTTTTTTGGCAAGGATGAGAGGAATAGGCAAATTAAATCCTCCATAAGCCTGCATTTGAGTTGCATTGCCTCTCCCATGGCATTTTCTCTCTTGTGGTTGGTTGTCTTAATCTCAGGTCATGTTGTGCAATTCAGCTGTCCTCCCCTCACTTGTAATTCTGTTTTTCTTGTCATGATTAATACTGAAATGCTTCCTAATGTTTTGGGATGGTAATATGGGGAACTGTTACATATGCTCTGGTTTGATCCCTTCCAGTGTGTCTTTCCAGCAAACTAGAGTACTTGACAAAAAAACAAGTGCCAATGAAAAGCTGAGCCCCTAGCCAGGAAAAACTTAATTGAAACAATGTGAGAAAAACTTGAATAGAAAACAGAATTGTAAGAGAGCTTGGGGTGGGAGGCAGGGGTAGAAAATTTGCTAAAAGTATGTCAGTCCTTATCTTGGAGCACTTTTAGAAAGCAGAGAGTAGTGCCAATGAAAATTTCTTATCTAGATTGTCCTGGAAATATTTTTGTTCACCATAGGTGCTTTTAGATTGTCATTGTAGAAGACAAGAAATGCTTACTAGGCAACTAAATGCTTTTATTATAAAATTTATCTGGATTTTTACAAACTGTGGTCATGTTTATTTACATTCACAAAAGTAGTTAACTTGCAAAAAAAAAAAATTATTAATTTTAAAAACAGAAGAAAAATCCCACTGCAAAGTTAATAAAAACATTAACTATGTTTTGTTATATGTTTGACTTGTTTAAAAATATTTTTTGACATGTTTGGCTATGCTGACAAAGTGTTTCTAAGGTGCAAAATCCAGGAAGTAAAGACCTAGGCTTGAAAATACTGTTTGGATTTTTACATCAGAAGCAAAGAATAACCAATATAGTGAGACATTACATCCCTATTTGGCCAACCAATGCTGGGGCTAAAACACTGTTTGTTCTGCATGCTCTGTATTGATGCCTGTTAAATATCCCTTCAAGGATGTGGTCACAGTTCTTGAATTGATTTTGCTGCAATGGATTTGAGAGGTCCTCTGTGTCTCCCACGTGTTTGTGTGGCAAACACTGGTGATCAAGAGGTCACGTGCCCTGGTGAGGACAGCGCCAGGACTCGGTTGAAGTGCATTCTGGTGTGCTGAAAATAACAAGTAAGAACACTGATGTGCAACACTGAGAACCTTCAAGAGCAGTGGACTGAGGTGACAGCCTTCAATTTTGGAAGTTGAGCAGGTTTACAATGTTCAAATGCTGCTCCAGCCTCCTTCCCCCTGCTAGCATGACTCGTTTTCATCAATCTCTACGGGGCTCTTCTCTTGGGAAGGAAACGAGGAAGAAGAAAAGCTATTCTCTGCCACGGGTTGCAGTGATGGCAGGCACCTTTCTTGCAAGATTGGCACTTTAGCCAAGTGTAAGTGAGTCTCAAAATAATCCATGGACTCCCCTTCTTGAGTCTCTGCTAAAATCTGGTAGTCCCCAAAACAAATGATGCACTTCCACGGCAGGTCGATTTTGTTTAAGTAACCCAGTTCTGTTTGGTCCACAGTGAGTTTTGTTTTCTTGCTCATGTTCTTTATCTCAAAACCATGTTCTGAGCTGTTCAGCTTTCTGTAGAACTGCAATGAAAACTGAACCCGGGAAACACGAGCATCCATCAGGTTGTAACGGCAGACGCTGGAATCGCGGCCAAACTTGGCCATCTCATCTGCCCTGACCTGCTCTCGCTTACAGAAGTTCAAGCAACGAAACATCATTTTGTCTTCTTGGCAGGGATGGTAAAAGGTCATGTGGAGGCATGTTACTGTCTCTTCGGTTTCAGCTTCTTCAAAAGAGGTCATGATGAAGTGAGCCCTCAGCACTACAAGACAGAAGTATAATCACAGCATGAAAGCGAAGTGTAGTGCCAAAAAAAATTGTTCATGACAACCATCGTTTCCCACCACCGTGCCCAAGACTTGTTTGGTGACCACAGCTAAGTGCCAGCCTGCTCTGTGCTGAGCTTTTCCCAGCCATCCCTCTCACATCTGCTGCAGTGGCTGCACAGCACTGCAGAACTCTTGACAGACATCCACAGTGGTAAATCACTGCCAACTGATTATTCAGGAGGATCTCACAGGTCGATTTGTCTCTGGAAGAAATATGTCACTTAGCAGTGACAGCAAGGTTTACTTTATGGATTTGAAATGGAAGGTTAAGCAGCCCTGTCTGGGCCTGTGTGCTCTGTTTTACAGTGCACTCCTTTGACTAGAAGATAACCAAGAAACCCCTTTGACAAATGCAGCCTGACTGTAGGCAGTGATATTTCAAGTGTGTATGAAGAACTCTTTTGGCTTTTTAGGGAGAATTTACCTTATTGTATGAAACAAAACACAGCATTTAGAAGTGACTGATGTGACAGTATGTAAAATGAATGCAAAAGCTGGAATATCAGCAAAACCTAAAGAGAGGAACTGCCAACAGCTCTAGGTATTTCCCCACTGCCTATTGGAAAGTCCCAGTTATCTCCTGCAGAATTACTTCACTAGGCACTAAAAATAACTTTGGCTGGGTTTTGGTTTCTGGGTGGTTTGGTTTTGTTCTTTTTAAGCTTCTCACATACAGCACAGATATGCTTGCTTATGAACTAAATTCTGTTCCAAAGAGAGCAACTGCATCCAAATAAAATCTGTGAGACACCTTAGGAAACACTGTGATATGGTCCTCTGTACAGACAAGGTCAGTATTCCCCTCCACTGAAACTTAGTCCAAAGAAAGAAAAGCCTCTTGTACTTAAAGTAGGAACCAGAGCTTGAGTCCTTAGTTACTCACCAGGAAAACATTGTGAGCAGCCATTTAACTAGCATCATATACTGCTGATGTTTGTTAAGTTTCTCCTAGAAGAAGGACTAGCAATAAAGTTCTGCAATAAGCTCCCAACATGCCACACACCAACCCTGAGCTTTCTCACCAGCTATTCAGTGAATGATGCTAGGAAGCAGCTTACAACTTAATCTAGTTTTTTTATGGGTACGTGAATCATCACTGCAGTTAAGTTGGGTTTTTTTAAGGCTAAATAACACCACTGCGCGTAAACACCAACCACCACAAATGGTGGTGTATCAGCCTGTCACTTTGCACGTGAAACCTCAAAATTGCTTCCTTCTTTTAACACAGTAACAGTTCCGAGGCAGCAGTTTGGCAACCTCCACTTAAATCCTGAAGTAGGCTGCAACAGGGTTTAGGTGAGGAGAGAAAACTTCAAGTAGCTCTCAAGAGCTCACCTGTACACAAACTAGGAAATAACCACCTGTGCTTTTAGCAGAAGCACAGAGAGATGGCAGGGTATTATTCCTTTCCCACCTGTGAGACAAGCTGCTGTGGCATCAGTGTGTCCATCCCTCCTCCTGCTGCTAACGCCTCAGCCCTGGGGAGCTGGAAACGGCTCTGAGAGCAGAAGGAGGGGCTGTTTCTTTCCCTGCTTCGTTCTGCCCTTTGCTGTTTTGCACCAGTAAGGGGATGTGAGCTGTTCTACGGGGTCAGCTTTGGTTAAAGGGGAAAACCAAGTCATTTCACCGCGTTGGCAGATCGGTCTGTCTCGAGGCTTGGGCTGAACTTTGTATTGGCTTCTGAAATACAGCCAGACTGGGCAAAACAAAGGAATACAAATAAAGCTATTCTGAGAAATCAGCAGGGTATACATACAGGTGTGTATCAGGTCAACGCAAAACGTTTACAAATATGTAAGGGGTGAGTGTCAGGGAGATGGAGTTAGGCTTTTCTCGGTGATGACCAGTGATAGGATAAGGGGTAATGGGTGTAAATTGGAGCACAGGAGGTTCAAGGAGAATATCTGAAAAAATATTTTTACTGTAAGAGTGACAGAGCACTGGAACAGACTGCCCAGGGAGGCTGTGGAGTCTCCTTCTCTGGAGACATTCAAACCCACCTGGACAAGTTCCTATGTGATGTACCCTAGGTGACCCTGCTCTGGCAGGGGGGTTGGACTGGGTGATCTTTCCAGGTCCCTTCCAACCCCTAAGATTCTATGATTCTATGATTATGTTGCCTTTATTAACGTGTTTATGAATTTTACAAATGGGCACATTTATCAATGAGGGCGGGGGAGGAAGGGACCCCAATTGCTCCCGCAGCACCCACTGACCCTGCACCTTGGCAGCTCTCAAGTCCTGTGCTTGAGGTTCACTGAGGACTGACCATGGTTCCACGTAAACACCGAGGAAGCTTCTATTTACTAGGCTGAATTGGAGAGGAAAAAGGGAAAAAATAACAACCTTCTGTAGTTAAAACCCTAAGTTTAAGCTGTTGTTTGCACCTCGAGTCAAACCAACCACGGTCTTACCTCCCTTTTCCTGACACCACCTCCTTCATTGTGCACGGCTGGAGGAGGGAGACCCAACACAGAGCAAGGAACCCTGATTGTTTCATCATGGGAACCACTTCAGCAACGCGTCCCAGGGCTCTTCACTCTCAACCCCACAAACTCCTCGCTCAGGGAGCTCTGCCCACCTGCCCCTGCTGATCCCAACGCGTTCAGCCCGCCATTCCAGAACAACAACGAACAACACAGCCACGTCCGTTTTGCTACCGGCTTTTCACTTCAAAACGACCCTGAACTTCCAGTCACTTCCAGTTTCCAGTCACACGGACCCTTCCTCCTTCCCCCCAAAAACGCGGCGCTGGGCGGGCATGTCGGTATTTTTATGCATAAACACCATTTTCCCTGGCTTTATGCCTCAAGATTTCCCCACCACCACCACCAACCCCCACCTCTGGAGG